TGTTTGCATAAAAAAGACGCTGCCACACAGCAGTAAAGCATTTGCTAACTGGCACGCTGCATATTGCAAATTTAATGTAGGAAAGTTAGTTACAATTTGCTGCAAATAACAATAACCATTGTTAATATTAATATGACAGTTACTTGTTTACGTTTTGTATGTATGCGTCGCATTGTCTATATGCTTGCTTATATAATGTGTGTAGTTATTAGTTTAAAATATGTGTACAGCACAAATTTTGCGAAAAGAAAGCTATGATATAACTTCATAGTTTCTAGAATTTGCACAACTATTTATTGGTAACTAAAAACTGTGTAAAACCGCATGCACATACATACAAACGTGTATGTGCAACAGTCAGATGGCTATTTGACTTATAACTTGCGATTCGGCTAGGCTGTGCTTTAACTTATTCCTAAAAAAATATCTTAAATCACACTTGGTAGTATAACACTACTTTTACACGCCAACACTGCACACATACATATACATTTCTAATATATAATAATATATGTATATTTATACACAAGAATTAAGCATATATGCGTACAGTGTTGCTTAAAAAGTGGTTAACACAAATTTTCTCACATAAAAAATTTTGTTTTTCATTCTTTATGTAAAAAAATATTTATATAAAAAATTATTATTTTTATAAAAAAAAGTATTCTTTATATAAAAAACAACACTCTTCATATAAAAGACCTTATATAAAAAATTGTATAAGTTTACGCATGCATTTAAAAGTACTTTATACTTCGGGTGTATTTAAACTAATTAAATTCATTTTATTATATATTACATTATATAAAACGATACAATTATATAGTAAACATGTGTGAATGCAAAGTCTCAAGCAAAACTAGCTAAACTGGCAAATATAAAAGAATAATGGTAAAAATATAAATATATAAACATATAAGTACTTAATATACACAGATGTATAAATAACACTATGTAAAGTATATAAAAATATAGAAAATATAGAAAATTTACATCGTAATATTTTTTTCACATATTAAATTAAAAGAAGTACAAATATAAACTATGATATAAATCTCAATACATACATATATTATATGTATGTGTATATGTATATATGTATAATATAATATAAACATGTATATATGTCAAATAATTTTATACGAAATTCTGTGTCGCATTGCTTGCTTTAGTTGTCGTCCACGTTCTTTTTTAACATAACACCTCTAGGATAATTGCTTTTATTGTTGTGTTCTTTGTTTCTATTCGTTAAATTATATTTATTATTATTATAAATAATTAGTAAAATTCAAAGCTGTTTCAAAGTTTCTTAGCAAACGCTGCTTTGTTTGGGCACTCCACTAACCGCCGGCAGCCAGCAGAAACCTAGAAGAGAAAACTGGTTAGCGAGAGTTCCATATTTGCTAGAATATATGTTTATATGTATAGGTTATAGGTAAACAGTTATGCTTGTAAAAATGTTAACAATGAAGGTGTGCGGTGAACTGAAATGGAAGAGATTTTGTAAAAAAAAAAAAATATTAAAATATTTTTAAGATTTTCTATA